ACTTTGTCAGACAATATGTCATTATTTCATTAAAAAACTCTGTCACTCCTACTTGAAGAAAGATATTGCTAAATTAAATTTATGGGAGGCTATCATTTTGGACTAAGCTCCCATGCTGGGGCCAACAGACTAGACCAAATCAGAATGGAGTCACTCATGTCAGAGGCCATGTAATCAAACTGAATTTTGAAACAGGCCAGTTCTCAAAAAAGCAGGATAGTTACAAAGGCCAGTTTACCTGAGCCACCAAAACAGGGAAGTCCCTACCATTTTGGAAAGTAACTTTAAAATGACCTTGTTGTTTCACATTTCAGTTTGTTTAGCTGTTTTCTGCCTAGAGCCAACCTCCTCTGTTCAGCTTTTGGAGAGCCTATTTTAGTAGATGAGAGACTGAAGCTCTCATGAAATACTTAGAAAGCCAAATCTCTCTTTAAACCAAATTTGTTGTAATTGTCTTTTGACATTATTTTCCCCATTTCTGAGACAGAGTGTCAGATGGGGGAAGTGGTGGCTAGCAAGGGAATTCCAGAGCTGGTAGTACCCAAACTACAAGAAACTCAAACAGAGAAAGGGCAGATGTGTGAGGTAGAGCAGCCAAGGGAGTTGAAGTCATTGCATTTCTGAGTTGAAATGAACTGTGATTGTATTTTGTGAAAAATATTTCTTAGTCAAAATCTACTTGTATTACCTGCTGAAAAACTGGTTTTCTGACTAAATATGTACAGATGTCAACTTGGACTACCCTGGAGTTTACTTAGTGCAACTTGAATTATGCATCTCTCCAAGGAGGCACCATAGTTGGTATCATCACAGTGCTTTGAAAGGACATTTCATGAGGCTGCTACTGAATCCAGGTTTAGAAGTTTATCCCACAGGAAAGCTAATGCTGGAGACGTAAGAGTTGGGAAGAAAGGTTTATTCTGTAGCCAAAGAATGGAGAAAAGGACACTTTGCTCAAATTATTTCCTTAACTCCAGGAAGTTGAAGGGTTACAGATACAGGAACAATGAGGGAGAGAAACACACTAAAAAGGGAGAGGATTCCTCTTGCCTTTTCTGGGAATAGGCAGAGATCTTCCAGGAACTTGACTGCAACTTCTTTTTACTCCTTTCATAGTATGTGTTTCTGCTCATGATGGAAGTTAGGGATGGAGTTAAAGGGGCAGTTGAGTCAGACCACAGTGATATGCAAATGCTACACAAATCTGAATCCGTTCTCATTCCATGGTCTCAAATTCACAGCAGGGGACCGGAGCCACAGGGCGGCTCAGGACAGGAAATGGGGACAGCAGGGAGGGTCTGTAGGTGCACAGCAAGGTTTTGGTGCACGGATTGCCTCCACGACGCACACCAGCAGTCAAGAAACTCATAACTGCAGATTTAAAAATGAAATTTCTCAACAGAAACTACTTGCAAGTTATTTGTCAGTCCTTTCCATTTGTACAATATTTGCATCAGCAACAATGGCCCTGGAGGCAAATGTTCAGAATATAGATACAGCAGCATGGGCCAGAAGTAGGGTACTGCTACTTGTGCATTGTGCTTTTGATTGTATCATGTTCTGGTTAAAAATGGGAAACAAGAATATATTTTTAGTTTTTAAGAAGAATCATCGGTTATTTTCATATGCTTTAAAAATGGGAAAGGATCTTGGAGAATTTGAAGGTCAAGCAACTAAATATTATAAATGAACATAGGTTATGGAAATAAAAGCTCCCTTAGATTGTTAGACATTACTAGAAAGATATTTCACAGAATATGAGGTTTTTGTCCCTTTCTTGGATTTTCCTCTGCAATCATCTTCGAGCTCTCCCCATCTTGACCATTGCTACGACCTCCCACAGGGGTTCCTCCTTTCCCCAACTTCTGCTGCTACTAAGCTGTTTCTGCTCTGGCCGGCTATTTTCAGCTACCAATCACTGTATAATCACTGTATACACAGCCTAAAGGAACAGAGATAAGTTCTTAGTTAAGACTTTGATATATACCTGTGGTATAATAAATATATTTGATCTTTGTTCCGGTTCCTGGCAGAGCGCCTAAAAACCTTAGAATTTCTTCAACGATAGGAGTGAGTTTTGTAATTCCTAGCAAGTTCCTTTAGATCACACCACAGTTTATGCTAATGAGACGCCTTAGCCCAGGTCTTCTAATCTCAGGATGGGAACAGGTGCCAGAAAGATCAAACAGGAGTCTGGCACTTTCCATCCCATCCCAACCTTGGGGGAAGGTAGGGATGCTAGAGATTGAATTCTATAAAAACTCTTCAACTGTGAGATTGAGCTAATTTCCGGATCGGTGAACACATCAAAGTACTGGGAGGTTGATGCACTCACAGAAGAGAACATGGAAATTCTGTGCCCCTCCTTACCACACTTTGCCCTATGCATCTTTCCTGTGCAGCTGTTCTTTGGTTGCATTACTAAGTTGGGGAATGTATGTACCTGAGTTCTGTGAGCTGTCCTAGTAAATTGTTGAAGCTAAGAAAGGAACTGTGGGGACCCCTAATTTATAGCCATTTGCTCAGAATGACAGTATCTCACCTTGTGGTGATGTGACTTCTTTTCCAAAATGGTCCCTTTCATGGTACTTCATTCTTCTACAGAGATCATCTCTGTCATGCTGAAATGTGCCTCACTCCAATTCTGACCATAATTATTCATAATGTTAATCTTCTATCCAACTTAGATTTCAGTAAACACTTCGGCTGAACTTTGATATTTGTGGCTTCTCTTTATTAATAAATACAGGCAGAAGCTCAATGTTGGATAAAGCCAATACAGGTAACAGTCAAGCAGCCAAGTGCCACTAGGTAAAAATCACAGCGAGACAGGCTGACATGACTGCACATCTGTAATTGTTCATTTTAACACTGCCCAGCAATCTTACTAATCTTCTCTGGGCAGCTCACTCTCCCCAGCTCTTGATGATTATTTTAAAACTTCCTTACTCTTCTCACCCCTAATCCCACTATTACCACTTCAACTTCAAGGAAGTTCTTATCTTCTGCTTCACAGGAATACAGAAAATACCATAAAGTTCCTGCCACAGAAAGTATAAATATAGCTTCATTCACACCTAGTCTTTCATCTTTTCATATTTTTAGAGTTCTATTCTCCCTGCTGTACCCCCAACTATGCTGATTTACCCTTCTTCTGAGTTCTCAGGAACCCTCTACTGTCAGTTACTTTTCTTTCCAATATTTTCAGCATTTCTCTTAATTGGATTCCTGCTGTGATTATTGCTATACATTAGCCTGAGTAAGAAACACCTAGTAGATTAGTAACATTTTCGATGTATCTGTGGACAATTGACTTGTAGGCCAGCAAACTACAGGGGCAAGATCCACCCCAGAGGAGTAAGGACCAACCTATGGGCTTGTAGCATCGTCGGAATGAAAAGGTAAAGAAGGAAGTGTGCCCTTTTTTGGAGGAATTCCAGTACCATTGCTTTAGGACTCTGGTCTAGTTTCAACCTTCCAGCACAAACTCGTCAGCCTCTGACAGACACACTGGAGACCCTACAATGAGCATCCAGGTTTCCAACCTTAGACTGCTTTCCAGGGTGCAGATGCATATTTTGTAGTCTTCTTCCTCTGACTCGCCCACTTTTGATCCTGTAAGCCTATCCAATAAATTGTTTGTGTAATTACATTTATTTTATATTGATTGTTCCTCTATAGAACCCTGACACACCTGCTGTTGCATTTATTCACACTCTAATCTTTCTGAAACAAAAGTAAACACAACTCTTTCAATTCATTTTTTCTATGATTCCCTCTCTCCAACTATATGTAAATATACAAGTGTATTCAACCTGTCTTCTTTATAGCTAGGTTGCCAGCATTCTCTTAACTATTAAAGTAACATTGAGATGAAAATCTTGTACAGAATGGTCACGTGTGCAGTCCTATGCATCGGCTGGATTCCAAGAAATAGGACTGCTATTATTTTTAATAATCCCAGCACTCTGGGAGCCTGAGGTAAATGGATTGCAAGTTTGAGCTTAACCTGGGCAACTCCATCACTTAACATGACCTTGTCTGAAAAACATAAACTAATCAGTTTAAAAGGGATGGGGATGTAGCTCAGTGCAAAACCCCTGGCTTTAATTCCCAGTACTTGGAGAGAAAAAGAGATGAATTTTTCTCCACAAGACGGTCCCCAGTCTCAACAATAGTGTCTTATCAAACTTTGGAAATTTTTGACAGATGACAAATGACAACAGTATTATCCGCATTTCTTTTATTACGACGGAGATTAAGCTCTTTATGTGAGTTTAAAGGGTGTCTACTCTTTTTTGTGGTCTAACGCCCTTGGTCCACTTTTCTTTTGGGGTGTTGGTCCCTTTCCTTTTAATATTGAGACTCCATTATACAGCAGGGAGATTAGAAGAGGCTAGCCTTCTCTTATTCCACCACACAGCCCAATTTAAAGAGGGCTAATCTCGGTCATTTGTGCTCCTCTGCTCTTCAGTAAAAGGAATTCCCTGTTACAATTTGTTTTTGACTCAAAAGTAGTATGTTTACCACGAAAGTATTAGAAGAAAGTTTAATCCACACCCAACCTCACTTGCCCATTCTCCTTTTCTAAGTGCCTAAAGTGAGAAGGAGGCATCTTCTTGTCACAGCCCATCATCAATAAACATCTGTAGCTTGTAAAATATCCCCCCCATAGCCTTTTTCCCCCATTAGCCCTATTAAAAAATCTATGCGGTAGAAAATATTTTAAATACAAAACTGTGATCATATTTAGGGACTGAGATCTATGTAAATCTCATATTCCTTCTGGCATTGTGTTTGTTTTAGATCAGGACCTTCTGAGAGGTCTGGGAAATGTAAGAGCACTGATCATTTGCCAGCACCTCAAAATATTGGATTAGGGCACTGAAGCATCCTCTCTACCTCTTCCAAATTAAGCTCTTGGTTAACAACATTTTAACATCCATTTAGTAGGACACTATCAAAAACATCAACAAGAACAACAAGAAAACTCAAACACATTGGTAATTTAAATCTGAATTTATGTTTGGAAATAAAAATGCAAATTAAAAAACTTTTACAAAATTGTCACACAAAAACTCATCTTAGGATATCATTACATGCTACTTTTACTTAGGAAAAGTTAATAGATCTTATCAAAACAAATAGTTGTCAATTATAAATGTAAATTCCTTTCTTTGAGCCAAAAGGAAGTTCACAGGAAATGTCAGACTGAAAGTTTGTGAAGCACACAGGTGCCATCAGCCATGGCTGAGAAGGAAGCTTGGAGCCTGGCCTCCCTGGGTGGGGCTGAGCGCTGGCCTGCAGTTTCCCCGCAGGCGCAAGAAGGGCTCCGACTGGATGCTTCTAAAGCCCTTTGTGCTGTGGTCCTTTATTTTAGGTAACAGTATAACATGTTACCACTACTATTCCTCTGATTGTAAACTTCTGCACAATATAGCACACTATCAATTATGCTACAAAGAATACTACAATTTTTGTGGCTCTTCAGAAAAGCTCCATTTTAGGGATTTCTCACTTGGTTCACTTTCTCATATGCCCTGGGAGTATCTTCCACACACACTGTGTGCTCCTGAAGAAATCATCTGGCAGGACTTTATTCTAAAGTGTCATCTGTAGCTCTGCATTGTTTGGACACTGCCACATCTCTGCTCAGGCTCAAACCATCTCAAGTTACAGCCTGCCCAACGGATCCATTTATTGTTCGTTCCTTATATTCCACTGTTTCTTGTACAGACAGTATTTTAGTATGTCTCTGTAGAATTTCTTCATCCTAGTAATAGTTTGAGGTTTTTACATAATAGATCTTCAGGTATTTTGCTGGTGTGTAAATTTCATCCGATTTGTTAAGAACAAATGAGAAGAAACATGCTGACAGATCTTAGCACCTTATAGTTATGACTCTGTCTCTCCATCAACATGGCATGTTAGCCTTAAGAGAATCAGCTCAATTTACTCATACTTTCTCTTAAATATATTCTTTCCTTGTCAATAGTAGACATGATTTTTTTTACAAGAAACTCATGCTCAGAACAAGCATCACAAAAATCATAAGCTATAATAACTGACTTAAAAATGCAGTTTTGTTTGCATACATCAGTTCTAAAATAAAGGTTCAAACTTTTGACCATGCCCTTGGATCCTTAAGGTCTAAGATACGTTAGTCTACATCATCAATTTTATAGTCTGACAAAAACTAAGTGTGTAGGGGTGTATCCTTAAAATTCACTACTACAATGTTTAACTTCCTCATAATTATTTGAAAATTCATACCATACATCATAAAGTGTCACTAATTATGAAAGATGTAAAATTACAATACTTTCTTTTCATAATTATTACACCAATATCCATACTTATTTATTCCTAATTAAATTCATTTTCAACTACCTGATTCTGAGTTTGAGGTACGTAGCTTCATTGTGGTTCTTCTGCTAGGAAATGGTATGGTTCTGAAGTATTCAATTAGAGATGGAAATACAGTATCATTTATATTGTTTCCTCACTTGACATACAAACTTAAAAAAAGTCAACCATTTTTAGTGAAAAAAATACAGTTCTTTTGTGAGCATGGACACAATACACGGAATTTGTTTCTTTGCATGAAAAGTAGAATCACAAGAAAATGACTCAAATTCTGTTGCTACCTTCCGGTTAACACGAGTAAGAATATGCATAAACTCAAGCTTGTGTGCATACAATTTCAGCATAGCACAAAGTGACTGAATGAACCAGGATCCATCCCTTGAATTTCGCCAGGAATAGTAACCTAAAAGGAAAAATATAGCCAAATACCATGGATATCTGATTTTAGTTGATTCTATAAATTAGTATAGAACCCTATCTACAAAGATGATTTTTAATATAATTTAATTTTTATTTTATTTTTTTTACTGTATTTTATTTTTATAATTTTAATTTTATAAGCCATAAAAGGAAAAAACTGACAGCTCTGATTTTAGGAGATATGATGCTGGGGGGCAGGGGATGCACTGGGCATACACTTCTGCTTTGAGCAGAGAAAGAATTGTGGCCCACTAAATTATTGAAAATGTTACTCTTGGGGCTCCCCTTCTCACAGGGAGGAACAAGCACCTCCATTCTCCCAGGGAAGAACAAGTAAACATGCCAACCATGAGAAGATGCAGAAGCAAAGATATATAAAATGGACCATTATAAATTGCATGATGTTTCAATCAGATTTCATCTGATTTTATTTTTTGAGACAAGGTCTCACTATATAGTTCAGTCTGGCCTTGAACTCACTATATTGCCCAGGCTGGTCTCGAACTCATGGCAGTCCTCCTTCCTCAGCCTCTCGCCAGTGCTGGGATTACAGGCATGTACCACCATGTCCAGTGGATTTCATCTTATTTTAATATTAGTTAGATAAAAAATAAACAGTTTATGAATGCCTACACATTTAAGAATATTACTGTGTCAATGGGAGATCTGAATCAAGTATAATAAACAGAAAATCCAAAAAGGAAAAATTATACATGGTATTTTTTTGCTATTAACTATTACACTCATTGTATTTAATCTGGAAGCATTTTGCCTAAAAAGGTACTTGGAGGATAAAGGAAACCATACTGAGCACATTTAAAAATGTAACATTGCTTAAAAATACTTTTATCATGTTTCCCCACTCTCTGGCACTGAATTTGTTTATCAGTGAACAGGTACATAATCAACGTTTATTTATATGATGGTATCAGTAACACAGTCACAAAAGAGTGGAGGTTAGCATGTTCTGATAATACATTTACCTTCTTTACTTTCTCCTAATTAACTTCTACTTCTACCTTCTCCCAATTAGCCAGGTTTAGCTTAATTCTTACCTTCAAAAATTCCCAGAAAACATGCATTATTCCCTTATTATCTTCAGGGGATATGTTCCCAACTCCTGTGAGTGCCTAAACCTTTTATGTACTTTGTTTTTTCCAATGTACACACACAGGTTCAGGTTTTCTGCCCACAATGCCTTTTCCACTTAACTAAGCAGTCACCTATATTATGACCAGAACTTGTGCAGTTTGATGTGCAACAACAACACTAGCATGAATTTTTTTTTTTTTTTTGGCTTCATCACAATTTCACAGAGATTCATTTTTATTATTATATCTTATAAATCTCAGCATAGATTTGTTTTCTTTCCTTATGAAGTCAAGAACTTTCATCTTTTCATTTAAAAAGGACTTTAGGGCTTCTCTCTGGCACATCTGAATTGCCAACATTACTGCTTGAACTTGAACACAAGCACTGTGATGGCTGGTAATCGATCTGGTAACTGAGGTGGCTACAGAGTGACTAACGACATGGGTATACCAGGGAAAGGGATGATTCATGTTGCAGGAGGGATGGACTGAGATTTCATCACACTCCTCAGAATGTCACACAATTTAAAACTTATGAGTTGTTAACTTCTGGAATTTTCCATGTAATACTTTCAGACCACAGATGACAGAGCGAAAATGCAAAAAAGCAAAACCGGATAAAAGGGTGGAGGGTCCAATGCATCCCTGTTTCTTTGTAATAAATGAGTGATAAACTCTGACTGCTGTTGCCACGTAGTATACACTCTGGTATTAAGGTCATTGTGAGTCTATAACCTTTTGAGATCTCTCTGTGGCTACGGTACCCTAAAATATAGACGTTAGCTACTTTTTAGGGATATCAAAACCTTAAGCCTCTGAAACATACTTTGTTGTTTACTTCTACAACCAGTCACAGCATAATTCATTTAAAATATATATATATCATTCTTCTTTGTAATTTTCTTACCTGGTGCTGTGGAATATGCATACAAAAAGTCGGCCTCTACTGGTATTTTCTGGCATGCCATGTCATCATCAAAACCACTGTCTGTCTCAATGCCACAGTCCAGTTCTGTGCCCCGACAAGCCTGTAAGTTAGAAAACAAACATTATTTGAAAAATGTATGTGAAAAAAAAAGTGTGTACACGTATAGCTTATACCTAAGAAACATAAAGGCTATGTGAAAACTGATATTAATCATGAGTCTAATATAATTTCAAAACTGAAATGGACTTCATATTTTCTAAGTGTAGTTTCAACGCTTAAAAATTAACAGTAGTTCTGTAGCTCCAGGAAAAAAAACAAACCCTTTGGATAACTCACAGGTGAATAAATTATTCTCTGATTAATCCTCAATAATCAAGGTGCTCAATTACACACTACCTGAATAATGAAAAGTTTGGGTTTTCCAGCTAGACTTCTACAAAGATCCCCTCTGAAGAACTTTGTTAATCTTTTCAGGTCAACAGGTCCATTTGTTCCAAAAATTCTTCCTTCTTCACCATGGCTTAGAATTACACAAACAAAGCTGCTCCTTTTGCTATGATCTTCTTTAGAAACTAGAAAGACATTTACAAATAAGAAAAAAAGTCTCTACAATTTAACACCTCAGATATACTGTGTAAAAAGAAGAAACTGAGAAAAGAACTTTAAGATCATCTAAATTTAAATTGGGACAAAGCCATACACTTGAAGCCATTTTAGGGTCTGACATAAACAAAATCTTTTACTTCTTACTAAAATTTGTAAGATCAGAATTACACGCAGTATAATTTCACAATTCTATTATATGTAAAATTATAGATTATAATAAAAAACTGGTCAATGAAAGTCATTTTTTTAATGACTTACCATTACAGATCAATTCCATAATTTCTTCACATGTAAGATCATTTTTATTTCTCACTTCATATTTCAAGTTCATAAATGTTTCCCTGATGTTTGCTGCATCTACATCTGTACCAGATCGAGCTGCCATTCCTTGGGATAAAACGAATTACTTTTAATTGTGTTTTAAAAGAATAACTGCTTTGAAATGAAATGAACTATGTAGCATTCACAAAAAGCAATGAATTCTTCCTTTTAAATGCCCAGACTAATTATTTTGATCATGGTGACACAAAGCCTTTCCAGTCTCTCAGAATATAAGACACTTCATACTGTGAGTGGTCCCAGTGTGATCACCACAGGGATATCTTTCATAACTGCTTAAGTACCCCAGAACAAAAAATGACTTTAAATACCTAATAGTAGAGGGTTGGTTAAGTAAATTACGATTCATCTGTACAGTGGAGTACTATGTTGTGATTTTTTTTTAGATAAAATTTTGCTGTGAAAAATAGTCATTGTTTTAAAAAAAAAAAAAAACATGGTCCTACTTTTAAGAAAATACTATATATATTCACAGCAACTGTTTTGCTTTGATTCTAAGGTCCCAAAGATTTAAAACACCAAAGACTACCATATTAATGCTGTACAGCAGGCACTGTACAACAGGTAATCTCTTTTAATCCTTCTAACTATCTTGAGGTAGTAATTTACTAGCTTCATTTATACAGATGTGGGACCATACAGCACAGTGGGGAAATTGTCCAGAGCTGGAGGCACAGCTCAGTGTTAGAGCATGTGCTTGGCATAGGAGAGAGGCCCTACATTCAACACCCAGTGCACACCCAACAGACTTTCAAAAATTCATCAAGCAAAAGGAATAAAGTGGTTTTTTAAAATTTAATGGCTGAAGTTGGTAATTGGACTTATAGCCAAAAGCAATAAAATAGTGCAATTCAAATTTAGAAACTAATTTTCAACTATTCTCTCTGTATTCTTTTTAACAAATCTAGTACCAAATCCTGTTTCTTTTCCTGTAAAATCTGACTTCCTTCAATTCTTGCCACCACTCTGGTATCTTAAATTTGATTGACTACATCTAGTTTCTATAATTAAAAATTAATTCTGGGCTGGGGATATAGCTCAGTGGCACAAACGGCTGCCTGGAAAGTGCAAGGTCCTGAGCTCGATCCCTGGTACTCTCCCCACACACAAAATTAATTCTAATATGATTAATATATCAACTCAAAGAATTTTCACAGCATCATCTGAAAGATGAGTAACAAGGAAATAGCCAAAATGTTCATTCATATAGTAAATTTCACAAATTAGATGAATAGTATATTTTGGGGATGCAATAATATATGACCATCAAAATAACAGTTGGAAAATTATACAGCAATACAAACATGCTTATTATTACATTAAGGGGGACAAGCAAGATACAATTTTGTTTTCATGGAATGAATAAAATCAATCTTTTCCAAAAAACTACCAAGGAAAACAAGAAGTAATACACTTAAATGCTAATTACTTTTTGAGATTCTGAAAGATTTCATTTTGTGTATTCTCTAAGAAAATTCTACAATTAGTAGATTCAAACTGTACATAGTGCACCAAGAATGGGATTTGGTGATCAGGCCATGGGGAACTTAAAGAGAGCAGCTTCAGTGGTAAAGGCAGAAAGCAGAGGAAAAACGTTAAGAGGCAAGAATAAGAAGTCAAGATAACAAACTTAAACTACCTGTATTCAAAATTTAAGGAAGGAAAAGAAATAAACATCACAGCAAAGTATAAGAAGTAACAGGAAGTCTTTAACATGGGGAACAGAGATGAAGACCTATGGAAGAAAAGCACAACAGAGCTCAGCCTTTGCAGTCAGTGAGACAAAGGCCCAGACGCCAGCACTGCTACTGTACTACCTATGCCTAAGTTTTTTAACTTTCTATAAACTAAAAGCAGCGGCTTCTCAGGTTTGTTGTAAAAATAAATAGACAATATCTGTGACGTGCCTTGCAGGTTCTGGAAAGAAGTACTGTCCCTTAATATTTTGTGAGAACCTTTTATTGGTCTAAAAGAGGGAGCAGGAGGATAAACAAGCAAGGGTTATAGATTAGTGAGGGTGGAAGAAGCCAAGCAGAAAGGTAAGAGGCCAGCTGTCCAAAGAGGGGGAGATTTTGCACATGGGTAGGAAAGTTAAAAGTTTATATTGTATTCTAGGACCTGTACAGTCTTGCCTTATTTCCACCTTGGTATTCTGCATCACAGTCTACTGACTAATAAAAGCCTATCAAATAGTCCTTTTTGTATCATATCAAATATAAATGACACAAACATTTGAAAAAAAGTTAAAATTATGTAAGATACATACCAGTGCTTTTATGGAAGTTCTTATTATTAATTACTATACACAGACCCATTTCAGGATAATCCATTTTGTATCTATTGTCCAAGAATATTCCAGAGTCCATTGATTTGCTTCCATGTATGATCTTTCTGTTTGGAAATCAGATACTTTAAAAAGGTAAACGTGACAAATCCACTAATACAATGAGTTTATGACTCAAAAGAACAGCTAACACTTGTTTAAAGCTGCGTACAAAATTTTCTGCTACAGGATCTTCTTAATTTAAAATTTTACAACAAGCTATTTTACAGATGCAAAAATGACCCACCCGAGGCTAAGAGATGTCCTGAAGGCCATGCAGACATCCTATCAGAGACAAGGGGAAGGAAACTGTTTACTGGACTTCACAGCTTCAGCTTTTAAATTTCATGTTCCTTACTTCCCTTTAAATTTTATCAAATACACTTTATAATTTAAAAATTTCTAACTTTATAGTTTATACTTCAAGGTAAGAGTAAAACGTTTAACTCTGAAATGATAGAAAACCACTAAATTGTTCCTCAAACTGTATGAGCTGAAAAAATTAATTAGCTATTAGTTAATAATTTATATAGGCACTATTATAAGTAACTGAAAATACTTATCTGAAAATCAGTTCTCTGAAAACCTTGTCTGGATCAGTAAATACATTCTTAGGACCTAAATACTAAATATTTAGGCTGTTGGGTCTTCAAGTCTCTGGTACAGGTACTCACTTCTACTGGTCAGACTAGCTAGGAACAATATGTAAATGAACATGTATGGCTTTGTTCCAACAAAACTTGACAAATTAGGCCACAGGCCTAACTTATGATCTACCAGGAATCTGAGAAATAACAGGTCTAGAAACAGTCAAACACCAACACCTTAACTCTATATGCTCATATACTTAGAGTATTTTATATTTTACCCAATTCTAAAAATATTGTGATTAAAAGTAGTAAATAAAGGAGTCAAGGTCAGAAAAGAACTGTTATATTTAACAGTTCAGAGGTACAGTCCCACACCCCTAACTCACATTTTGCAAAAATTAAAATCCTAAATCCTGAAAGATTTAACCTTCAGGTCATAAAGATACAATTTGAGTATCCCTTATTAAAAAATCTGAAATGCTCCGAAGTCTGGAACTTTTTGGAAGCATACACAATGCCATATATGGAAAATTTCACATCTGACCTGAGACAGGTCACAGTAAAAATATAGGTACATTAAAAATGTATGAAATTAGTTTCAGGCTATATGTGTAAGGTTTATATGGAATACAAATGGATTTAGTGTCCGGACTTGGGTCCCAGCCGTAAGACACCTCATTATGTATATGCAAATATAACCAAATCTGAATGAAACTACAATTTAAACACTTGTAAGGATACTCGACCTGTAATGGACCACAGGACTATAAATCCCATCTTCTGAAGCTCATTCCGCACTTCCTCCTTACGAGTAAGATCTCTACCAGCAATATGATAGATGGACCAAGAAGGGATAGTCCTCAACAAAAAGCAGACTCAAAAAGCTTGGGAATGTGAGGGTGACGCATCACAGGAGCAAAACAATCCTAGACCTCTTTTTCACAAATGCAATTTGCGATTTATATGATATTCTGTACAAAAAGATGTCAAGGTTTAAACACCAACCCTGGAAAACGGGATTGTATTTCAAATTCCTTTGCTAAACAAACAGGCTAAATCACTTGTAGGGATTTGGTGTTAGCATTGCTATAATACAATTATTTCACAGTAAGGTTAGTCTGTAAGTCTAAGAGTGGTCCAAAATAATAATACTGGGTGTCAGAAATAAACTTTTAGAATTTAAAAAAAATTTCAATTGACAGATAATTATACATCTTTATGGTGATGTTTTGGTACACTTATAAAATGTGTTGATCAATTCAAGATAGTTAAAATCAAAAATATTTCACATGGATGATAAACAGACATGAATTAACTGAAGTGTTTGAATTTTTATAGTTTTCCTTTATTGGCCAGTTACTGGATGTTGTAATGGTTGATACACTGTGTCAACTTGAGACACTGAGAAGTTTAATTCAGCAGGGAGCCAGGGTCCTTACTTGGTAAACATCCTGAGCATGTAAAAGAGAAAAGCACTGAGATGGTATGGGTGTAAAGGATGCCCCACCCCCTAGGGTGGATAGCCTACATACAATGTAAGGGAGAAAAATGGCTTGCTTTTTCCCCTTTTGCTGTTGTTGCTTTTGGTATCTTCAGCGGCCTGGGACTGCTGCCCCTGTGCCATACCACCTTGCCTTGGAGCCATGTGATTAAGGACTAAAACTTACAGAAACTGTGAGCTAAACAAACCTTTCCTTCCTCAATTTTGGGTGTTGGATATTTTGTCTCAGCAACAAAAAAAAAGTAACTAAAACAGACGTTGGTACCAGGAGTGGGGTTGTTGCTGTGACTATACCTAACCATATGGCTCAAGAGCCTTTAAAAATGCCTTGTGGAAAGAGTTTTAAAAGGTTCAGAGATGTCACCTAAAAGAGCAGAGCTAAAATGCCTTAGGCAGTTCTGCATGGAATATTCTGGTCAGAGCTCAAAAGATCAGAAGGCTAATAAAAATTCTGCCGATAAAGATCAGGCTTGGGAGGTTTCTGCTGGGAAGGACTGCACTGAGTGCTGGACTCCAGATATGTGTGTTATGACTTGGCAAAAAGTTTGTCTTCATTTTGCTCATGTCCAGAAACTTTGCCAGAGAGTGAGATTAAGGACACTTGACCCCTACAGCAAAGAGAGAAAAAAGAAAGGCTGGCTACTGCTCTAGCTGGCAGCAGACTTTGGCATTATCTATGTAATGCTCATTTTCGGTGCATACAAAATGCAGGAGTTCTTAAGTTAAAAAGGCTTCCACCTCGATTTCAAAAGCATAGGAGGCCAGGCAATATGCTCCTGAGAGGAGTTTAAAAAAGCTATGAGTAAAAAAAAGCCAAAGGTACAGTGGAGACACCAAAAATTTAAAAAAGCCAAAAATGTGGATCATCTAAAAAAGGTTGCAAGGATAAAGAAGATAAAAGATAATTCATAACTAGGCAATTCTTCTGCATCTGAAAATCAACACTGCATTTTAAGTCTTAAAACCTACAAACAACATGTCAAAGAATTACCCCAAACACACAATCTCTAATCCTGGACAACGATTTGGGCAGACAGACAGCACCCCAGTGGTGAGTTCTGCCTCTCCTGGGGAATCCTTCTTATTCCAGGGATGAGTCAGACACTGTCTTAGGTTTTTCCCTTCATCCTCCCCAAAGTTCTGTCAAAGATTTACTACCTCCATTTTAAAGATGAGACTCAATGAAGTGAACTTACTTAAAGCCATACAGCTTTCTGAGGTGGGAAATCACTTGGTCTCTGGCTTGAAAGCCTATCTGTTCCCCACTCCTACTGCATTTTATATATCCATCTTTTTCTGACTATAAAGGATTCCATTTATATACTCACGTTTCTAAATTTTTAATGGATTTTGCATCCACTGAGTTTTCAGTGTTCTCCATGGCTACTTTTCTTAACTAGGACACAAAGAAAATAAAAGTTAAGAAAAAATCAGTCATTATAAAACCACCACTACATATCAGTGACCTGAGTGAATATTTCTCCAAATCCCCTTGTTTTATCCTCTACTGTTAGAGGTCTGTGAGTCAGACCTGGGGAAATGACTCTTTGTAATGGTATGTATAATGTAGTAAGTCAGTCTATCTGTCTCTCTCTCCTACTTGGGCCCCCTCCCTCTCATTTCTTACCTGACTTATTAGGTAACTTATCAATTATACATAATAAATTACATCAAGTACACAGACAAGCATACAACTTGATGAATTTTTCCCTTGTCTTCCCTGTTAGATCAAGGTAGAGACTGCAGCTTGTTTTCTCTAGTACACATCAAAAAAGGTCACTTGTAGAAACTCAGCTTCCAACTCAATAGCTAAAGCAAAACCAAAACTTACACAAGGGTATGTCCCATATAATACCGTCCCACTATACTTGGATTCCCAAGGGATACATTATCAAGATGTTCTAAATCTCTATTCAATCCTTATTCTAAATTGGGTTTCAGAATCCCAACTTCCCAATTAGGGTTGCTGAATGGCTAGAAGACTTAGGAGTAAAAACTAAACTCTCTCATTTTTCCATTGCACATCTCATACAATGAACAAGTCCTAAAGCAACCACTTACTCAACACTTATGATGTATCAGGTACTTTGCTGGGTATCTCGTTTTTATTCTTCTCAGTAATTTTAAGAGTCAGGAAACCTAACTTCTAGTGATTAAGTGACTACATTCACAGACACCAGCTAAATGACAAAGCCCTTCTCTTCCCACTCTGCTCCCCTGCCTGAGGAAGACAGGCCGTTACTACTTGTCTTCAGAGCTCTAGGTATTCTCTGGCTTTCCAGAAGCAAAGGTATTTGCCATGGTAACCTTCCTCCTTAAATAGAGATAAGAAGAACAGAAATAAAACAAAAAGTAAGGACAACCAGTCTTCAACAAATTTCTCCAAACTCTAGAAGCCCCGGCTATATAAAAATTTCAATAAAAACACAACTTTAGCCTCACTCTTAGGTTTAACTCAGAAATACTGTAGGAATGCACAATCCTACCAACAAGACACACCCACAAAATACTTTCCGAAAATCCTAGGCAACTTCCCCTGTTTTTTTAATTTTTACATCTGTGGTACAATATACATAAAATGTATCACTTTGGTCACTTTTGAGCATACAGTTTAGTAGCATTAAGCACAATCGCATTGTGGTCCAATTACCATCACCATCCTCTCCAGACTTTATCTTCCTGAGACTCCATACTGAGGTCACGCTCAAGATCTCTTGGAAAGCATAATTCCTTCCTTTTTTCAATGCTAAGCTTCTTCCTCTCCTCATGCCACCTCTGTTCACACTTATGGTGGAGAAAAAGTACAGAAGATGTGTTACCCATTAAATTTAACCACAGAAGAGGGTAGAGTTTTACTTTCTCCCAAAGCCAGTCTATTTTTTGCATTTCTAAGAAGCCTGTTTGCTTTCTGCCATCTTACTTGCCTAATCTTTCTAGAAAACCATAGTCAGATGTGAGCACAATTGGGATAAATAATCAGGACAGTCAGTTTGCAAATATTTAGTGAACACGTACTTCGTACTAGGCATCATTCTAGGCATTTCACCAGAATGGAAGACAAGACAAAGCTCTACATTCCAGAAGCTTTCATGCTGGAGAGAAAGCTTATAGGTTTATAAAGTATTTCAGACACTGGAAGCGGGTATGAAGGCAATAAAAGAGTAAATTAATAAACAGTGTGAGCTACGTCAGCTAAGGCAGTCAGGGAAGTCATCTCTGTGGTGACGTTTGACAGAGACCTAAGGAACACACAGGCTGACATAGGCTGGGAGAAAGACCAGCAAGTAAAAGTGTGTGAGTCTGTTGTACTCCTGGTGCACTGTGAGCAGTCAGATTAGTGCATGATGAAGGAAGGAAAGGAGCGAAGGGAGATGACACAGAAGAGGCAAGATCACATCAGCCCACAGTCACCAAGAGGCACTTCAGTCCAGGCAAGAGATGATGACAGCCAGTACTGAGCAGAACAGTGGATAAATGTAGTTAGGGAGTCTAGAACTGGAGGGAAAGACTGGAGCTGGACATATACTGGAAGGGACACGCTGGTAAGATTTCTTGAGAATATTTTGACTTGTCCTCTTATTCTGTAATAACAACTTAAGTTTGATATAGTAAAATTACATTATTAAGAATGCAACCTAAGGAAATAACCTCAGGGGGTAGAGGAAGTAAGGAAAGAATACGCATTACTCATTTAAAAACTGAGAATCCAAAAGCAAACAAACAAAAAAACCAAAAAAAAAATAAAAAACTGAGAATCTGAGGACAGAGAAGTAGTTAAGTTACAGCATATCCTTTCAATGGTTAATGCAGCTACTCATTTTTTCTTTTGTTTTTCAAATTTTTCTTGAAGAACTTATGACATGGGCAATGGTCATAATATAAAGCTAAGTAAAAGCAGGCTATAAAACAGTATGATCTCAATTAAAATAGACGTTACAAAAAGAACAAAAGTGCTTATGCACATCATTAAATATTGATATGTGTGGCTGTCTCTGGGTGACAGAATCACTGACAATTTATTTACTAAATATACTTCTATATCACCTTTTAAAAAATTAGACTTGTACTTATAAGGTTAGAAAATAATAACAAATATTATTTTATAATATACTATCAACAATGGCAGAGTGCATCAACCAAAACTGTGCTAGACAATTTCAATCCTCAATCCTTGTTTCAAGAATGACAAAAATAATGGTACTTTCTTATCATGAAAGCAGCCATTCTTCCTTGCCTTTACCATGTTTTAGTCTGCCTGCTTTTCTCTTTTTCTTTCATATAGACAATGAACATGTACTGGGTACAAGGAAATTTCAAACTTCCATGAACCATAAGTACCATGGAACTCATCCCCACACACATCAATTCAAAGTACGTGAAGCACAAGCCAAAATAATTATCCACCTGTGGTTGAGAAATTGAGATGTGATTAACCTGATTAACAGAAAACAGTATATAGGGTGGTCAACAAGTCTGGAAACATGTAAATGTATTGCAAATGACTCATTGATTTTTTAAAAATAGGAAAGAGATAATTTCTTAAAGTGAACCCAAGGCTCCTGGCATAGTCTTTTCTGGCCCCAAGGTTTGCTCCAATTGGCCCTTTCAACAAACTGCCCAGTACAGAGCTCATAGTATTTGTCCAGGAACCCCTAAGTGCTGATCAGTTTCCACCACCAATCAAGGTCCTAAAGTTCTCCTTCCTAAAACTTCTAAACAATATGGTAATGCTTACACTGGAATACTAACTTGTAATTTAGGTGGGGTAGGTACACACTGGGGATTGCATTGAACACAGGGACTTCACACTGAGCTACATCCCCAGCTCTTTTTAAATTTTTTATTTTGAGACAGGCTTTTGCTACTAATTTGCTAAATTATCCAGGCAATGCTGAAATTTACAATCCCTTCTACTTCAGCCTCCCAGAGTGCTGGAATTACAGGCATGTGCCACAATGACATAGTAATAGTAATTTCATATATTAAACCAACTTTCTCTAACCAATTATTGAAAGTTAAAAAATGTTTCAGATAGATCAGTCTTACTATATAAGCAAGTATAATTTAATCATTTCTGATATTAGGCATGAGTGACACATCTCTTGTTTTAGCAGGAGTTGGTGGCTGAAAAAATGAATTTTTTTAGAATTAAATACTATTTTACTCTGAAACAAATACCATATTTAGTTTCCTTTATTCTTAGTATATGATTAATATGTATCATCTCAGATATCTGTTGCTCTTGAGATATATTAAAATTTTCTATGACCACAAATGAAATCCTTCTAGCATGAGACATGTATACATCTGCTTTTTCCAAATGACATAGCAAATCCAGTCTGGGGAGAGGAGCTTTGCTTCCTCAGAACTCACTACAGCATTACCTCACCTTTGTTACACAGCATTACCTCACCTTTGTTAGCTACTGCCTGGCTGCATATAAATTATTCTGGGGATGGTGATCTCATCTTAGAGGGATAAAAAATTATGTCCTAAGGGAAATATTTACTGCCCTAAATCATAATAGGAATTTAGCTTCTTATACTGTACATCTGACAAAATGTAAATAAGGAAAATAAATAATAAGAGTTTTAAAAATATACCCTGGCACAGCACTGGACTTATTGTTCTTACTGTGCTGATAAGTATAAATTGCAGGGCCAGGATTCAAACCCAGACCTGGCTGTCTCAAGGACTCAAGACTCTGCCTACACATTCTACAGACTGCTTAGTACCAAATGGAGTGATAACAGTATGGTTAATTTCCAGGAAGGAAACAAAAACCCATAACCTCAGAAGCTCTGCTTAAGACAGAAAAAAGACATAAATAACATGATAGAAATGATTGCTGAGAGCTGAAAAAAATCCTCGCTGACTGATTCCAGGACCTAATTAGGACAGCAAACTCTCAGAATGTTCAAGTGCCATATATAAAATGATGTAATATTTCCATGTAACCCATGCATACCTCCTATACACTTTAGATCATTTCTAGATTACTTATGATACTTAATACGAGATAAACACTATGATGCTCAGGGAATGACATGAAAAAAATCTGTGCATCTTCAGGATAGATGAATTATTTTCTAATGTTTTTGATGATAGCTGGTTGAATCCACAAATGCAGAAGGCTAATGTAGTACACTTATTCTAGTAAGTAATGATGAAAATAGGAATAATGATTATGGTGTTTCTGATGCTGGTGGGTAAATGATTTCTCAAAGTGAAATAACTAGTTTCAAGTTAAATAACTAGTTTCTTTCAGTGTGAGACATTCAGTTATTCTCTACATCTCTACTTGCCTCTAGGAAAAATGAAGCCACTCCAATATGATCTCCAGGAGGACTATACCTCTGTGCAACAATTTGAAAAATATTGGGGTTATATTTATTGCCTATCAGTGAGGACAAGTCTCAAAAGCAGTAGCAGTCACATTTCCACATAAAGTAAGTGAAATATCTGTTTTGCAATAGTGTGTGTAAGAAAAGGTTTCAGCTAACACCCACCAGAGGTTTTATCAACATCTCTCCCATCTGGTCTTTGAATTTTTGGGGGGCATGTAAGAATTACTGAACTCACTGTTGTCACAAGGCCTGGCAAAGTCAATCTTTTAATAATTAAAGTAAAGGTGAAAACTGGAAAGTCAAGCAAAATACGAATAACCCAAGTTCAGTTGTAGCATCAGCAAATAACAACCATCCTTTCCTTTCCTTTGGCACAAGCCACACAACCACGAAGACAGAATAGCTTGCTGCCCACAAGTCAGAAAAGAAATGGAACTTCCCACTTGGAAGAAGTCTCCTCCCTTCTCCAACTGAAGCACTACGGTGACTTTTTTGTTTTTTTTGAGAGACAAAAGGAGAAAACTGCAGAGCACTTGCAGGCCTAAATATTTTGTATAAAATAAATGAAGAATGAAGGATTTGGGATGTGTTTTATAAAAATTACAATTAACCATAGTAATTTAACGAACACCAGCTGTGCACAAAGTACTGCATTAGGCTTTAATTGTGCAAAGTAATGGAAGGGACAAAGAGCCTACACCATGTGGAGCTTATACCCACATCCACTTATATTCACAAGAGGCTCAACAAGGCAGATGTCAGAACATGTGCAGTCCCTATCAAATAACCCTACCATACTCTACCACACTGCAGAAGTTCTACAGGCAGTATTTACAGGCAATAATAACACAGGCAGAAAATAACTTACATTGTATAGATTTCCCATTTACAAAGCACTGTCACAAACATTTTTTCATCTGATCCTCTGAGCAACACTGTAGGTGTATATATTCTGTGTAATTTATTAATGAGAAACTAAGTGTGTCTCTTTTAGAACTTAGGCTCAGGTAATCTGACAAAAGACTACCCTTCCTGGTCAATATATCTGTATTTATTAAATGTGTATAAATAATATTTAAGAATCTAAAATGTCCCACATATTTTTAAGAGGCCCAAACACCACTGTTTCTTATCTTTGGGGCAGAACTTAAAAGTATTACTTAATACTAAGATCAGAACAACTAATGTTACTCATGAAAATAAAGATTGCTTTGTAACATTAGAAGAGGGATGATGGAATAGACTGAGTTCAATTGGGTTTCAAAGGAAAACAGTAAAACAGCATTGTAACTGTATCAGATAAGATGCCAGTTTCTTAAAAAACTGGAGGCAAGGCCTTTTTTCATGATGACAGAAGCAAATCTCAATTAGGTACAATATTCTTTGAACAAGTTCCATTTCCACAGTCTAATAAACTGTTCATTCATTAAAATATCTTAATTTGTAAAAGCCTTCTTTTGCAAAAAAACAAAGCAAAGCCAAAACTCAAACAGGCCTGATTTAGGCTTTCATTTTTAGTAATCCTATGAGCACACCACATGCAAAGCGGCTGAGCACATCTTGACACTGGCTGATCTCACCATGCTCAGCACCACCTTCTGCTACCTTGCATATTTATATTGTTACAATGACTCCATTATTTCATGCCCACTAGCCTTTTGCAATCCACACTTTCATTATAATTTGCTAAGCAATCCTAAAACAAATTTACTTTTTCTAGGTAGGACATCTGGATGGGGTAAAGTCATTAAAAAGCATAACAGTGTAATACAAACAAATGGGACAGGTACTTGTTGTGCCAGGAAAAAACAAAAAATCACCATAACAGGTAAAAGAGTCCCTCAATGTTTCCTTATAATCTAGAAGGGAAGACACTGTAAAGGAAAGGACACATCTTCTTAAGAAATGCTGGCTGCATAGAAACACATGATAGGAAGACTGAACCTTGAATTATAAAATGAAAGCAGAAACCTAAGCAAATGTGAAGCTGTGGCGGGCAGGGGAAGGGAATGCAAGTGCACAAGGCCCTACAGCTGACAGCAAGCACAGTGCATGGTGCAGAAACTGCAAGGGTGTTATTTTAAAAGATAAGGCAAAGGAGGTTATTCAGAACCCAGTCCATGTTTGGCTCTGCTAATCGGTTGAGGACCAGGTTTACTCTGAGGGCGAAGACCCAGCTTTCTAGATTTCCCTTTTTAAGAAAAGGTCTGGAGAAGGGCAGGGCGCCCTCCCTGGGGAGACCAGCGAGGAGGCGGTGCCGCTAGGTGTGAGTCTAGGGCGACTGCACCCAGGGATGAAGGGCGCGCGCTGTCTTCAGACATTTCGGAGGTCGCCAAGGCCGAGGGGTGACAGCGGGAGGGGTAGGCTGGGGGAGAGCTGGCGGAGATGCAGGGTTCCCGGGGGCCGCTTCCGGGGCAAAGCAGCAGCGGCCCCAGTCAGGCTTGGGCGGACCCTCCGAGAACAAGAGCGAGAGGTGGGGATCTCAGCGCGACTCCCTCCGGGTCCAGGGACACGGACAGGCAGAGCCGGAGTCCTCACGAAGCCTTCCGCTCCGAAAAGGAGCCGTCTGGAAGACTGAGCGCAGTCAACCCGAGAAAGGGCTAGGCCGCGGCCCGGCAGGCGGCAGAGATCGAACACTCCGCAGCCACCGCAGGCTCCGCGCCCGGGGCCGCTCCCGCCGCAGCTCCCCGTCCTCCCTCCCGGGCCCAGCGGTTCCAGCC